AAAAAAAAAAAAAAAAACGAAAAAACATATTAAAAAAAAACAGAAATAATGCAAAAAGGAACACAAATGATTTGAAGAATGTCTCAATAAACAATAAAATTCTATGGAACTATGAAAATTCAAATTTTTCTTCCAACTTCCTCACTATCACATTCTCATACTTAAAGTTTTTTTAATTGTCAACCTCCTCAATTAACCTTTTGAAAAAACAAACCCTTTCCTTTTATAATTTTACAATAAACTAATAAAAACAAAGAAGAGTAATTAAAAGTGAATCTGCATTACTGAAAATAAATTTGCTCTCCGATTCCTTTTTCTTTTCTTCTTCCTCATTAACTTTTAAAACTTTTCTTTTTTTTTTTTTCACAAAGAGATTATTTCACAGTAGCCTATAACATCAGCAAAATCACTAACGCATCTAGAATTTTAAATCTACAAAATTTCTTTGAAACTTCTAGACCAAAATGATTAAAAAAAAGTTGACTGTTTAAACAAAGATACAAAAGGCAGAAAAAAAAATTCACCAGGCCTAACAGATAAACGGAAAAATACTGGAAAGTTGTCTAAACGAAAATGAAATGAACAAATAAAGTAAAACTGAATCAACAGTGGAAACATCAAATATATCAACTCTATTACTACATCAATAAAATCAAAAAAAAAAAAACTTATAGCCTCCTTTAAACAGTTGAAATACAGCTATCAATACTTTCAAATATTACATTACAATAATAACAATAACAACAGTATAATGATAATAATAGGAACAATAATAATAATAATAGGGTATTAGTTATTGGTATTACTGTTATTATAATATCATTGATAATAATAATAATAATAATAATAATAATAATAATAATAATGGCCACGACTAATGTGTCTGAATAATATGGTCAAAAATGTTGATAAACTTTCAGAAGTATTTGTCAAAAATGACAGTAAAGTGCATGCATACCTTTTGTCCAGATAATCTTTAAAGATTCTCAAAAAATGAACACGCACTTAAAGAACCGTCAAAAACAAAGAGTGGAAAAAAAAACGAGTTCAGTGAAAGTTCTGCTGAAGTGGTCAATCCGATAGACATCAATAAACCAAACAAAAATATTTTTGCTTTGCAGTAACAGCATTACCTCAATTCCTCCACCCAAAAACTATTTCAGGTCATCAGTTCTGCTCATCTATTCATGAGTATCACAAAATACAAGCAAGCAAACAAACGAACAAACACATACACACAAACTTACCGATACCAACCTTCCTAGTTTCTATTAATGCCATTACATTACTATATTCAACTGATCAGACTTAAAAGAAACAGATCTGAATTATCTGATGATAACAGTAAAAGCAATGATAATATTAACAGTAGCGGGAACAAAAAATATACTTCAGAAGCCAACTTACTTTGAGTACCCAAAATAACCAGGAATACAAATTTAGCTCAACAGTTCAAAAGAATACCGGCAAAAAAATACATTTTTTTTCCAGTTCCTTAAATTAATCCTTAAATTACTATAAAAAATCGAAAAAATTTCTTGTATTGCAGTACATCTTTAGACTCGGATACCAAATGATATGACATTATAATCAAAAGAAAAACCTCTTCAGTGAAACGAAATAAAGGTCATAGAATAATAATCATTAATACGGCATGACACCGCCATCATCACTCTAATATCATTATTGTTGTAAAGTAAAAAGAAATGGCAAAAAAAAACACCTCACAATAAATGAGGAGAAAAGATGTGAAATGAATGAATGAATGAGTGAACAGTTCCTCTTGTGTTCTAAGACGTGACGTTACAATTGGACAACAGTAACGGTAACACACTGGATAATACATTAACCAAAACGACCAAAAAATGCTTCCTTCAGTGCCATTGATTAGCTACATTTTTTTCCGCTATTGATTTTGTATCACTTCTATCAAAACCCTTCCTAATTTACTTACACACTGATAATTCTGAGCTTATAAATAATAGAAAAAAAAAAAGACGGCAATACCACTCAGTGGACAAACAAAGCCAAACACAGTTATCGATTGAACAAAACAAGTCAACAAAACAGCAACAGAACACAGAACCTATTCCTGTCTGAATCGAGAGCGGGGAAACGGGGATGATGGCGGCGGGGGAGAAGGGAGGGAGTCCGACGGG